ATGCGGGCCGTGCGTGAAATGCGTGACAGAATTTTCAAAATGTTCAAAATCTTGGCACGACAATTTTGTTTGGCAACGTTCGTGAACACTTCGTGAACTATGCGCATCCTATGCGCTGCCTAGTCGTGCCAGTGCGCGCCGATGCGTGTCTGATGGCCTAGTGGCACGCATGTTCACGACTACTTAACGATTAATTTGCGCATAATTTGCGCATTGGCTGCGCATAATTCCCGCGCAGTTTTCGCATGCCTTGCGCATAGTCTACGAATGCGTGTCCTGGTGGTTACGCATTGCGTGAACTATTCGTAAATTAGACGTGACCATGCGTGTCGCTGCGAGCCACTTATTGGCACGCATTGGCACGCCACAGAGCGGGGCAGTGCGGGACCAAAATGCGGGCAAGTGTCAAAGAGGCATATGCTACAATCTATAGCTTTAACCCTTCATGTGCCCATGTGACATAAGTATAACAATAATAATAATAATTGTAACAATGGTGGCTTCTTTAATACACGGCTTAAATCCGTCACGCCGTGCCATGACGCTCCCGGGGGCGTTTCACAGAACTTGTCATCAGTGACAAATGACAGCTTTTGTTATAAGCTACTGAAATCCTTGATTCTGATTGGTTATCAGTAGATTTGTCACTGATTTTTGTAATTTGTCATTGTAAAAGGGCTTTGTGAAACGGGTCCCTGGTGCTCCAACATCCTAACCTCGGTCACAGCCGAGCGGCTATTAAAATGAACCATTTCGGAGACGAAAGACCACTAAATGGGTACCTGGCAGGAATTAAGTCATTGAAATGCTGGAGAGCTATAATTGCAGTTGGGCTAAAGCCGGGGTAATAATTAATGTGCCTCGGAATAGCATTTCTAGAAAGATGGCGCTATAGAAATGCCTATAACAATTATTATAATTATACCTTTTGTTTGCCATCTAGATATGCTGAATATCTGCGTATCATAGAATGAACCGTCGCATCGGTACACAGATGAATTTTTTATCTGCTCAGGCACAGATAGATATCTAGCATATTGGGTATCCAGTGTGGCAAATGTGGATTAATAGGGACTTTTAGAATTGCACGTCGACATAGTGGACTGCTGCGTGTGACGGCCTTTAAGGCACTGTGACTTCCTTTTAAGGCACTGTCATTGCCTTAAAAGGACGTAACACGTAGTAGTTTGGTGGTCAAGTGAGGCTGGGTCGGGGACAACAGTGTTCATGTCTTCAGCTATTTCATTAGAAACTGGAGAGTCGGTGTGTTTAGAGCTTCTCCAAAGGTAGAAGAATTTGCCTCTTCAGGTACTCGATCTGAAGGAAGGGATTCAATATATTCAGAAGCTTCAGTGGAGGGAGACGATTCTACCTCTTCTTGAAAGGGCTGGGAATCCGGAGAGCTGATAATCTCAGAAGCTGTCTCTTCTACCTCTACAGCTGGCATGTTAGCCACATCAATATCCCTCTCAACAGATGCTTCATCGATCTCCTGCGGACCATGAAGGTGCGGCTGACTAAGATCCTCTTTATGGGGAACAGTAGTATTCTCAATCTCATCTTTCTGTACCTGATTACTAGGAGTGAACTTTATGGGGATCTGAAATAAATTTGAGAAAAAAAGGCATAATATTGATATTGATAACTCTCGAGAACTCGCTCAGATCCTGCCATGACCCCTCGGAGCGCCACCCACCCAGGCGCGCCTCAGGTTAATGGCAGGATGCGCGAGTTCCCTTGAGCATATAAAACCAGCCAGGCCTCTCAAACATGGACCTCAAAGCAGTCGATATCTCTATATTATTATTATGTGTTTACTTGCACTAATTTTTTTGATAACATTTGGAAGAACTTTGAACTAATAGATTTATTACAATTTAAAAAATCAACAGAAAGGTTAAAAAGTGTATGTAAAATTCTTTTTTTTATTACTTTAGATTTAACGGATCAGGGCCCGTATTCAATTCGATACTTAAGTACAAAACTTAAGTATTTTACTTAGTATTTGGCTTAAATAAATTACTTAGCCAAATTTGAGATTCAATTCATTAAGTAAAAGTCTTAAATGCGATTTGAATACGAGATAAGTAAATTACTTAGCTTAACCATTTACTTAGTAAATGTCTTACTTAAGCTAAGTATTGAATTGAATACCGGCCCAGAGCTCTATTGCATAAAACGTACCAAAATGGTAACTTTGCCATTAATTGCAACTTCCATGGAAACTTTGATTTGATTGGCTGTTTATTTATGTTGTCATGGTAGTTGATATTGATGGCAAACTGAAGTTACCATCGATGGTAATTTTTATGCGTCAGTGCCCCATTTTATTTAAAATTGTTTTATTGAATGAACTTTGATTCTTTCTTTGTTATATTTTTTTTTTTACTTCAAAGCATTTTGCTACAGACTGTTAAAATAAAATTTAGGCATCTAGAAGGACTCCCATAAAACAACGGGGAGCCCTTTTTGATAGCAACTGTATGTGCGGCGGTCATAACCAAAAATAAAGTCTCAAATAACATGGAAACCCCTTACTCCTCATTTTAGCAAAATCCAGACCAGAAACTAAAACGAATTTTACTTGTCTATGGCCTAATGTATTTTTTTTTCTAGCCCAAAACCTTAGTTACCAACTATTTTATTCATATTTTATGGCTCAGGTAAAAATATAAAATTGATGAGGTAAAATATCAGAGGTGAAAATGTCAGAGATACAAAATTGCACTCGACAATTGAATTGATTTATTGTCCATAATATGGAAATTCATTGTTCACTGGTACAATTGTGTGTTACAAGGAAATGTACAAAATTAAACAGATTATAAAACATAATAAAAACATAACATCAATGGCGTTTCATCTAAAAATAATATACAGAGCCCATTGTTGGAACTCGTTGAGGCGGTGGAGGCTCAAACCGCTTTCGTGAATATCAACTAAGCCTATCCATTTTCTAAATTCTGCAAGCTGCTAGCCGACACTAAATTCATCGCCTGGCTGGCAAAAGGGCGATAGCTCGAATTTCAGGTAAAAATTGAAGCGCTAAGCAGAAGGGCGTTAGCACTAAATCGCCTCAAACTCTTATAAAACTGACTTATTTCCGAGAAATGGCCGTGTTCTGTTATAACATTTTTATTAGTCTTTTAAGTTTTAAAACCATTTTCGGGACGGAAATCAGTTTAAATATAAAACAAATCTTTAAATGCGAAAAATTCGAAAAGTAGTTTTCGAGTCGCTCGCGCGCCAACGCCCTTCTGCCAGCTGGTCGATCACAGTGAAAGTATAAATTTGTCATCTCAGCTTTTTCCAAGAACTTTGAGAGTGGTAAGGTGTCATTTTCTCGGAAACATAATGTCGGGAATCGAAAATAAAATCCTATGGAAACAAATAAGAAGCAAAAGCGCTCGGGCAAGGTATGCTAATGTACCAAGGACAAGACAGAGTGGGCGACATAGTAGAGTAAAGCGGTACACAAATGAAAACATATAAAACTTGGGCCAATTAAAGTCGCAGAGACTTGACCTCATACCCAGAGCAAAAAGACTAAAAGGCAAGAATAGTTGTATGGCTTCATTAACCAACATGAATATATAGTTGAGGAAGCTTGGAAAATACAACATTTTACAAACCCGTGTAGATGAGAGAACCACTCTGAAAGCAACGGTCAAAATGGAGGCACCATTAATTATCCTAACTAGCTCAACTAACTTCAAGTATTCAAGTTCGCGCGCACGCAGCTTGCCCTCTTCCAACTCTGACGATGTTTTCACCAGCCCAAGCAACTTGCAATACAAGTCTCGTCCGAGTATAACTCGTCCTTCTGACTCTCATCAGTTTTGTATACCAAACCTAACGGTGAGCTCCACCAGCATGCATAATATTCACAAGGCGAATAGCTTCAATGACATTAAGAAACACCACAGTGGGTCCAGACTTACTGTGCCGATCCAGCATCCCCGTTACTTGAGGAGCAGACCGTCCGTCACTTCTGAGAATGTGATAACTGGCATGAAACCGCGTGACAACGGTAAAGGGTGGATCAGACGAGAATCCAGCCAAATGTCACGATTCTGCAACGGTCAATCGAATACCTTTTCGGTTAACGACAACAAAAAGCAACGAAAGCGTGCCAAGGGATTGACGCTGAAGGAGATCAAGCAATTAGCGTTGTACGAACAGGTCGGCGATACGTACGGCCACATCGTCGCCGGAAACGTCGGTGTGTCTCTCACGCCGTATGGATTCCCTGTGCTACAGGAAAGCCCACGGGACTTAACAGACGAATCCAAATTTCATACTTTCAGATATGGTGCAAAGTCTTTTAATTTGATACAAAACGACCGTCCCCACCACCATTACATGTCGCCAACAGTTAGTACTTTACCGAGCGAATGCCAGACCCCGGTCATCGAAGTGACCATAACGTATGATGAAATGCGTATGATAAGGCTCTCTTCATTGAAAATGAAAGGAATCAATGACAAGAGGCGGGTAATAATCACCGCAGACATTGCCTCACATCTGAGGAGAAAGCGAGTTATAGGGCCACTGGTGTCGGTCGATGGTAACTGTGAATACAACAAAGATGTGGTGTTCTTTCGAGCGCAAGAATCACACTTCGAACTCAGCCAGATCAAGGTTTGTGTTTTAATGGATTTTTGTACAATGGATATCAATTTTTTTCACAATATATCCCGTCTGAGTTTCTGTGTTTAGTTTTAAAAAAGTTAACTGATTAGGCAAACGATTTTTCCGCGAGATAGGGATGTCATAAAATAATAATAACAATAATAGTGGCTTCTTATATAGCACACATGTCCGTCACGTTGCGACGTTCCTGGCGCAACCTGTCTAAACCTGTCCAACCTGTCTAAACCAAGTTTAAGACATTTCATTTGGTTTATCCAGAAATGGCTAAAGAGCAGGCGGAATCCTCCCTAGAGCTGAACGGAGCGTTATGTATCTGGATAGCTTGCGTACACTGGCAATGTTTACTCATTTTTTCCCGGGGCCATTAATGTCTCGTCTCATAAAATGCACATTACTCTGGTTAACTTTACGCTGATTAGATAGCAAGAAATGTAATATGTGTACTCACTATTTCGTTTTTCTTTACACTTTTCAGCTGACAGCACACACCGAGAAGCACCGGTTTGGACGCCGGAACCTCCTGGGATCGACAACCATCTCTCTCCGTGACCTGACCGTTGGGGGGAATACTTACACACGTCCACTCTATCCAAATCTTCCTAAAGTGGTAAGGGGATCAGTTTTGTCTGTCTTTTCTTTCCTTCTACCTTTCTTGTTTGTTCTTGTTCGGTATTTCTTTTTCTATTTATCGTATAATGTTATCCAGGGGCACCCACAAATCAAATTTTGAATCCATTTTCAAACCACCATCAGTGATTTTATAAACAGAGAGCAATTCATAATCCTTCCAGCATTTAGTTTTCTTAAATTCAAATGAGACCTTTGAAATAATGAAATAATGAAACTGATCACAAAGGGCACCTATAAGTTTTATGGATACATTATTCTTTATGAAACTTAAGCGCTACATATATCAATATGTTGAATACCTGGGTGGAGAGAAAGGATGTAGATAAATGCCTTGCTTAAGGACAAAAGTGCCGCGTCGACGATCGAACCCAGGACCTTCACATTGTCAGTCAAATGCTTTAAACACCTATAATTACGACACCTATAATGACTTTATGCAAATTCAATCTAATCCAATACTTTATAATTGTTTGTGGTTTTTAGGATCTTGGGAGACTTCGATTGGTGCTATGTTATCACAGAGAGAAACGACGTCTTTTGGTTACCGTGGTTCGGGCTACCAATTTGCCGAGCAGGGTGATACCTGCAGGTAAGAAAAATTTCCTTCCAAGTAAAATGTAAATATATATGTATAAAATAAAAGAAATTAAGATGCTCCATATACGAAGAGATTGTTTTACAAATTTTCGCCCTTAGAGCTTTGTCAAGAAGGATTTTATTTGACTTTCAAAGACGTATTGTTATGCATCAAAATATGCACATCCTATCAGTATAAAATGTCCCAAGGCGCAAGGAGAGAGAGGACACGAATACGTACGTCAATAAAAAAGAAATTAGCGAGTTGAAAGAGCGCGTAGGAAAGAGGTATGCCGTAAGAACAGGTCATGAATAAACAAAAGGCAGATAGAGAAGGAGAGCACGAGAGAGGACATGTGAATAAACACGTCAGTAAAGGAGAAAGAAGACATATAAGAGAGGGAGAGGGAGAGAGACAGAGACAGATAATTAGTTCATAGCTTAAGTAAATTCTAGGACATGATATCAATATTGATCATCTCTTTGTATCGCATAGCATCACCAGCACTGGTATGGTTTAATCCACACGTTAATAAACATGAGAAAGAAGCTCTGTAATTACCCAGAACTGCAAGCCCAAAGTTGTTTTTCGTGGTCCATTCCAATAATTCAGAATGAACGACGCAGCATTTTTATATTCCTCTTTAAAGTAGACATTCATTGATTTTAAAAACTAATGTCATTTTCATTATTGCAAAGTTGAAACTTTGATTCGACAAGGTTATCAAAATTCAATGCTTGGAAGCATTTGAAGTAATGATTATTATAAATTGTAAAACGCTTAAATACAGCACCGGCATAGCACCTGAAGAGCTCTCCGAACGCTGCTGAGATTATGCGAGATCACAGTATGGACATGATTTGCACAAGCAGACGATGTCCCATGACATCTCACACATTTTCAGTGCCTGTGTTTTCATCTTCTCTTGAGTTCTTTCTTTTACTTTACTACCGTCAGGCTAAATGTAAAATCTATTGCCTCAATCTAAACCCCGCGCATGGTTTTATTTTAATGACAAATGCAGCGATACAAAAATAAAGGAATCTTTCGCTTGTAAAAAAAATGAGACGCCATTGTATCTTCAGCTGCACACACCGCAGTATGTTCGGCGTTTCAAGAGGGAACAAATGCCGTCCTTAATATCATTCCGGGGGGTTTTCAATATAAAAATCTGGTTTCTTTGATTGTTAGTTAACCCCTATCCTGTGTATTTACAAGCAAAAGATTTTAGTTATCAGAATCGGGTTATATCGCCTTTTGAATGGTTTGACATGCCATTACATTTATATACACTTAACTCAATATAATTTGACAAATGATAGCTTTGCAATTATGTTCATTCTTTATGGGATGTCGTCTGCTTGGGCAGTATTGGTCCATATAGTGACGTCATTAAAACATCGTTATTTTTCCGGCGAATCTCTCGTATATCCCAGCTGCTATGGAGGTGGTTGTATTTGTATTTTTATAAATCACCCGATATGTAATTGACCTAAAACTTGTACGATGGTCATCTGTTAGCTTACCAGTTTCTAGTGATCCATTAGTTGACATATTTGTGATTTTCTTTGTATTTCACCATTAAGACGAATTCGCGTCCTTACTTACGTTGGAGTAAGTTAAAACAAGAACTGCTTCTCTAACTTGCAATTTGAGAACAAGTTTAAGACCATGTTTCAACCATACTTAATTGACGTTCATGCATCATTCTGATTTTATTGTGTCCTTTTCTTTTTTCCGTTCTCATTTGAAATTTACAGATAGCTATGTGGTTGTTGAATTGCGAGGCAGCGACAACGAAGTCCTGGCGCAGGTACGGACCAAGGAGAGACACTTCTCCAACAACCCAGTATACAAAGAAGTGTTCAGCTTTGATCTACCCTCGCGTCCAATTGAAGACTGGGACTTCACAAACATTCAGCATCCTTTAGATAACGTCTCATTGACCATTACAGTCCACCGCAGGAAGCTTTTCTTTGGGGATGACACCATTGGTTGCGTCACACTGAGGTCCGAAGTGAGGACGAACGGCTATTCACATCTTTGGAAATGCAAGAGGTCCCCCTACCAGCCGATCACCGAATGGCATGATTTAAAAAGCGTAAGCAAGTTCATAACTTGATAAAGGCTTAAATTAAATTCTTCCATTTTGGCTGAATCATTACCATTTTGGGATCAAACTTCCAGCCGACCCATAGAATTTATGTGTATATATTTTTTATTCTAAGAATATTGTCCATAATTATGTCACGTAAATCTCACAATTTAACATGTTAAAAGCCGAATATACATTGTTTATATGTTCATGAATATTATGTAATTTTTATTGAATTCATTCACAAAAGTGCATTTTCTGATTCACATTTAAAAGTTTTCTTTTCATATTGGAAAGAAATCCTCTTTATTCACGAACCACCTCCATGAGTGTGGGAAGGGGAAAGTTAAAGTGCCTGTCTATTTTAAATATAATTTGTTTCGTGTTACTTGTCATGTTTACATCATGAACTAAATAAAACTCGCCTCTTGGTCGGTGAATAATCTAATAATTCTTGTTAATTAATCTTTTGTTTTTGTTTCCTAGTTAGGATGTAATGTGAAGTAAGAAGTTCTTTTGAAGTGTTAAGTTCCAGAAGCGGGGATGCAGCTCAGGCGACCGGGTTATTTCGTTAAAGATGAAGTTGAGTTCTGGTCATGCGATTGCATTGTGAAAGAAACGGTGTGGAATCGACCAGAAAAGGTTGATCATCTAGCATATAAGAATTTGTGTGTATTGCAAGGTTCTGGAATCATCAAAATGATAAGAAATTAGGTCAAGTCTTGGTAAAGTTACAAACACTGTACACAGAAAGATGTATATGGGACTACACGAACACGTGGCGTAAAAATCCGTGACCCCGGGGTTTTACGATGTTGCATGACATATTTAGAATATGAAGGAATTTGAAGAGCAATGCTTTTCAGGGAACATGTCTTATTTGATGTTCTTCCACACTCGCATAATAAAAATGATAACGCTCACAAATTGTTTTTCACCTCTTCCCAGAACTCATCCTTCTCTTTAAGTCATTTAAATATAACAACACGGTAGTCTCTATAGAGCACTTTCGAGCGGGAGAGGGGGGGGGGGGGGTTCTGACCAATGATGCTAGCCGTTTCATAACTCATGACATGCATTGAGAGGGGTATAAATTAACGGACTTGAAATTTAAATCACCATAATGTATCGTCAATGATAAGACATTTTAAATCGGCTACACAAAAAGCGGTTGTTGGAAGAGAGAGAGAGAGAGATATATATAGAGAGAAGGAGAGAGAGAGGGGGGAGGGTCGGAAGAGTGAGAGATAGGGAAAGAGAGGGGTTGTACAAAATATATATGAAATCCCCTATAGGTGGGTCATGATACTCAGATGTTCTATATTTTAAAAGAAATTGATGGATAAGATTATTTTGACTCGATGGATGGGACTGGAAGAATGGGTGGGGGGGGGGGGTGTCTCTACTCCCACCTTGAAAGTTGCTTAGAATTTTGATCCCCCAAAAATGTTTTTCTTGCCGTTTAACCCCTAAAAAGATGGACTATAAGCCCATACGGTTGTGTGGGATGGGCCTCCCATCCTGTCTTGCAAAAAGACATTTTAATTCCCTTAAGAAGTTTCATGATGAGTAAACTTGAATAGTGATAGAATAGTAATGAGAATAGATCCCCTTTCCACTTTTTGAAATTTGAAATTCCACAGGTGTGAAAAAATGGAGGGAAAAAAAAAAAATCTCTTACCAAAATGATGGATTAGACTTAGTATAGTATACATCTAAGGAGGGATTGGAGGGGGCATTGAAAACAAAATCATATAACTTGCCTGGAAAAACTTGGAGACCCCCCACCCCCTCCCCCCCCCCCCCAAAAAAAAAATGTTGATTACAAAAGTGCGTACAGATTACATTACAAAGGGGGTAATTATGGGAGGGGAGTGCCCTTCCTATCCTGAACTTTGCGATTTTAAAATGTTAAATACATTGTCCTATGATCAGATGATTTGGGGATTCCTTACGACGACCATAGCTAAGCATGATATCCTCCAACGAGAGATAGAGTAGAAAGAGGAAAAGCGCATCATTTTTCAAATAAGCCAACTATTATCAATAATAATATATACAAATATACACTGTCTTGAGAGGTTCTGGTTAAAAACTATGCGCAAGAGGTGACTCCAATAGTACTATTTGCTGAGGGGCGCAGCCCCGAAGCAAATGGTACTTTTGGACTCACCGAGGCCCAAAGTTTTAACCAGTATCTCAAATAGAAGGCATGGTATATTTGTTTTATAACTTGCATCAAAAATTTATTTTATTAAAAAAAAAAAAAAAAAAAAAAACATTTTGGGGATTTTTAAATTATTTTTTAGAACAAAGTAGGAATCACCTTCCTGTTATTTAATATTCCTTCACTATATCTTTTAATGATCCACAACATTCTATTCTTGACATTTTTATATAATGGTTAATGGAATTCATATTTAATGTCTTCCCTCACGTGCTGTTAGGTGAATAACTACAGAAGGAGGATCAGATAATGATGTTTTCGTCCGACAGTTCTGCGATTTCCCTGTAATCAGCGCTAAAAATACACGGAGGCGGTGGGCGATTCGCCCCCGTGAGCTCCATACTCGCCCCCGTCAGGTTGCTCAAGGGGGCGATTGTAAAATGAAAAATCGCCTCCATGGAATTATAAAATAAAGATTTTCTGATATAACTTTAAGACAATATTGAGTATCAATTTTTAAACCTTAAACCAATGAAAATGGAACTTAGATGGCGCTTTCTCTCCCATCTCTATGAGTATTACCGATAAATACAACGGAAGCTCGCAGTGCATGCAGCTAGTGCGGCAGTCAGCAATGCTATACTGCGCCGGAAGTAACGGTGTGCACGCTGAAGCCCAATATATGCTGGAGCTGGAGACGATCGCGCAAAGACTGAAACACTGGAGAAGTTTTTCGTTGTGAAAAGTGTGAATCCTCTGAAATTTGGTGATTGTAAAAGACCAGCGCAAGTAATGTAACTCAACCATTAAATCAATATTGAGAAGAAGAAGAAGATGTTGCTGAGGGGCGGATCTAGGCGGTTTAGGGGGTTTAACCCCCTCCCCCTTGGGCTGCCAAGTGAAAATGTGATGTGCATAGAAAAATGCTATCATGTGTCCAGACCTACACAGTATTAGTAGATGCCAGAAAAACATCACTAACGGGGGTTAAAAAAAGGCAAAAATTCGCCTCGCCGCTTTGCGACTCGTGGACGATGCTCCGCATGTTAGCAGATGCCAGGAAAACATCACTTACGGGGGTTCAAAATAGCAACAACAAAAATCGACTCGCGGTTCGTGGACGATGCTCCACATCGTATTTGGGTTACCCCTCCCCCCTCACCCTTGGCAAAAAAGATAGATCCGCCCCTGTGTTTTGGAAGGATATGGTAAAGAATAAAAGTAAAGAAAGAATGTAAATAAGGTTGCTCCGAATAATGAGGAGGAAATTATGTGCAAAACGGGAAGAAATGGAGAGAATGTCATCACGGGATAAAAGTCAATAACATCAATGTTACAAGTAAATTTCTAACAGGGAAAATGCCGACTTGAATAAATGATAATGATAGAATACCAAGGAGTTTCTTGGGTACAAATTTAATGGAAATTTGTATTAAAATAAGAGCCCCCGTCAGCACTAAAAGAGCCCCCGTAATAAGGCTCACGGGGGGCTCTTTTTTCTTTGGAAGAGCCCCCGTGGACAAAAAAATAATTTGAGCCCTGCTTATAATAATGTCTTACATTATCTCGTATGTAAGGAGGCACCGTGACAGCATTGAGGGCGATTGACGATACGGAACTCCCGACATCCTTCGACCAGTCACTGCAGGGTCTAGTGGTTCACACCCGTCCTGGTTTGTCCTCGCCGGTGTGAAACTGCCACCAGTTCCCCGAGAGAGTGCCGGTAGTAACTTGCAAGAGCTACCGGTACTTATCCACCTTTGCAAGCAGCCTTCATTATGCGCAACAGTATGAAACTTCATACCGGTTCGGTCGTCTTCCGGGTTAACAAGGACCGCGCTGTTAGATCAGGACTTCCGTCGACAGTGCCAAGTATGCTAGGAAGCAAACAACAACAACAAGAAGATGACACCAGCGGAATTACTACAATGACGTTTGGACAGTGGAATGTCAGGACACTCCTCGATCGGGAAGGAACTGGCAGGCCAGAGAGAAGGACTGCCCTTGTAGCCATGGAGCTGGAGAAGTACAAAATTGACATTGCTGCTCTGAGTGAAACACGTTTCTCCGAGTCAGGTAGGTTCGATGACATGGGCTACACATTCTTCTGGAGCGGCAAGCCGGACGGGATACGACGAGAGGCTGGAGTGGGATTCGCCATCAGAAAAGAGATCTTAGCCAAGCTCACAGAAATGCCTAAAGCGGTGAATGATAGAATTATGACAATGACAGTACCACTGATGAAGAAGGGAAATGCTACTCTCATCAGTGTATACGCACCAACCATGACGAGTTCGGATGAAACAAAGGAGAACTTCTACAATTAGCTTAGACGAACGTTGCGGGACACCCCCCGGACTGACAAGCTGATATTGATGGGAGACTTCAATGCCCGGGTAGGACGAGACTATGAGAAATGGCAGTCGGTGTTAGGCAGGCACGGAATCGGTAAATGTAACACCAATGGTGAGCTACTTCTAGCGCTGTGCTCTGAGTTCGAACTCCTACTGACAAACACCGTGTTCAAGCAGAGGGAAGAACACAAAACCACCTGGATGCACCCTCGCTCTAAGCATTGGCACCTGATTGATTACATCATAACAAGACAACGAGACAGAATGGATGTTCACAGCACAAGAACTATGCGTGGAGCTAACTGCTTGACCGATCACCAGCTACTAAGATCAAAGATTGCATTTGCTTTACGTTCAAAGCGTAGGAAGCAAGGAGCTACTAAACTTGCAAAGCTGAACACAGACCGGCTACACGTCAACACACAACGGCTAAAGCTAGAGCAAGATATGGAGAAAGCTCTGGCGACTTGGGGAGTGCAAGAGGGAATGACAGTTGATCAGACCTGGGCATCACTCAGCAAAGCAGATAGTACCATTTGACCGACACCGAGCGCTGGAAATGCTTTAATTATAGCTGCTCTGATTATGACCTCTGGACTTCTGTAACGTCATGTAAACTTTAACTCTACCTACCTACTCTTGCCAGAACTACCTTATTGGATTCCGAAGATTTGTGGTATGATATTTAACATGACATTCTCATTCGTTTTCTCAGCCTTGAAAACCAATTATCAGGAGTGTCCCACCTATTGATTTTTGTGCTGGGTAGTCACACTTCTGGCCTACGGCGTTAAACGTACGGCCTACACTACGTAAGTCTATGCAAGTCTAACAGTACACGTATGACAAAGCTGACAATCTTCAATTTATTGTGTGCTGAATTGTGTCTTCTCCATCA